GCCGGGGGGGGCAGGGGGGCAGCCCTCGCCCTGGGCGCTCCCGGGGGGGTGGGAGCCACGGCCAGTGCCATTTTGGGGGGGAGGAGGATGGGTGAGAGACCCCCGGGGCCAGGCTGGGGGGGCAAGAAGGGGGCACACAAGGTCTGGGTAGTGGGGACGGTGTGGCACATGCCCGGGCAGGGGGACAGGCTTCGGGTGGCTGCACACCCCTCGCCTGGGCACGGAGACACGTGTACACGCACCTTGCACGGCTGCATGCACCTTGCACGGCTGCACACCCCTCGCCTGGGCACGGAGATACGTGTGCACGCACCTTGCACGGCTGCACACCCCTTGCATGGCTGCACAGCCCTCAGCTGGGCATGGAGACACATGTGCACACACCTTGCACAGCTGCACACACCCCATGCCTGGGCGGGGGGACACGGCTGCATGCATATCCCTTGCACGACTGCACACACCTTGTGTGGCTGCACACCCCTCACAAGTGTCTCATGGAGACACAGGTGCACACACCTTGCACGGCCACACACCCCTCACCTGGGCACAGAGACACACGTGCACACCCCTTGCACGGCTGCAAACCCCGTGCAGGGCTGCCCCGTGGTGCCCAGAGCAAAGGGCGACCCTGCCGTGGGGGGGCTCCGAGGCACCGATGCCCCCAGCCCCGGCCGGGCCACGGGCACAGCCGGCTCCGAGCCCACAATGGTGGCATCGGCGGTCACCGCCAGGCTGGGGCGCAGGAACCGGGTGGCCATGGTTGCGACCGACGGGTGTCCCGGCTGGCCGTGGCCAGGACCATCCTGCCTTTCGGTGGCCAGGACCTGGCCGGGCCGGGTGGAGCCGTGGGGTGGCCCCGCCGGCGGCAGCGCCGGGTGCCAGCGTTACCTGGGGGGCAGCGCCGGGCTCCGGCGGGACTGGCAACCTCTTCTCCAGGGCGTCCAGCCACTGCCGCAGCGCCTGCAGCTGCTCCTGCACCGCCGGCCTCCGCCCGCTGCCGAGAGAGTGGGGGGACACGGGGCTGCGGGGGGGCATGGCCACCATCCCCCCGCCCGGACCCCGGCCCAGCACCCCCTCGGCTGCCCCGGCGTGGGAGGAGGGGACAGTCCCCGGGGTCCCGGCACCCACCGCGGGGGATGGCTCTAGGGGGCCTGGGGACCAGGGGACCGGGAACATTGGGACCCCAAGGGTGACCCCACTCGTGGTCACCGGCTGGTCGGTGGGGACACTGGGGCAGGGGGAGGCTCCGGACACCCCCCGGGATCCCCATGGCCGGCTCAGCCTCCTTGGGCCTGTGTCCCTGAGCTGTCCCCAGCCCCACAATCCCGGGGCTGATGGCCTCGGCCGGGTTGGCTGCTGTCACCTCTCCCCACGTCCGTGCCACCAGCGAGGTAAACCCTGTGCCCTCCTGGTGGCCACCAGCTCCCCACACTGGCACTCAGGGCTCGCCTGGTCCCCTCCCTGCTGGCCCTGGGGGCACATTCCCTGCCCGGGCAGCAGACCCCGGCCCCAGGGGACATTCCCAGACCCGGGGGGTGCAGGGTTCCCCCCAGCTCCCCACCGCATACAGACCCAGAGCCCGGTGGCACCCGTTACCTCTCCATGTCCCTGTCCGGCGACGTCCCATCCGCGCTCCCCCCGGGGACACCGGCGTTGTCCGCAGCATGGGGCGTCTGGAAGGAGAGAGAGGGACGGGTGGGGACGGGGGGTGCGGACCTGGCAGGGGGGCAGGAGGAGGGGGCTCCACCAGCCCCCTCCCAGCAAAGCAGCACAGATGTCCAGGGTGTCCCTGTGTCCCCCTGGGGATGGCCACCCCCGCAGGGGGACAGTCACCGGCACATCATGGAGTCACCAACGGTTTGGGGGGAAGGTACTCCCTCACAAGTTCTCCAGATCCTTCTCCTTGGTCTCCAGCCCCCTCCCCAGCTCCGTTGTCCTTCTCTGGACACGCTCCAGCCCCTCCATGGCTTTTTTGCCATGAGGGGCCCAAAACTGGACCCAGTGCCCGAGGTGGAGCCCCCCCCCCGGTGCAGTGCCAGCGGGGCTGCCGTGGCCACGGGGCCCCCGCGCTCGGCCGGTGCTGCCGGTCCTGCTCGCCCCCAGCGTGAGAAACCGGCCCCGTGGCAGGGTGCCCGGGCACGGCCCCGCTCGGCCGCGGCACACGAGCCTCCGTGAGCTGGGGGGGGGCGCGGGACCCCTCCGGGGCTGGCCCATGGCCACGGCATTTGGCGCTTCGCTTGCCACCACCCGGCCACATCCAGGCTCACAGGGAGCGAGAGGGGCTGAGCTCAGGGGGGGTGAGCTGAGCTCGGGGGGGGCGAGCTGAGCTGCGGCACATTAAAACCGGGAATGTAATAGAGATATCCATCATAATTAGCTCGGCCCAATTACACGCTGGCTGGGACATGGTGTGGTGCCACAGCGGCTGCCCATGGCCGAGCTGGTGCCCATCACCCGGGGCTCGGGCTCTGCCGGCGGGGACAGGGATGGCACCGACCAGGAGGGGAAGGGGCTGACCCACTGTTGCCCAGCAGGGCTGGAGCTGCTGGGCCACCACTAGCCCAAATCCTGCCCCACTGACCCCGGCTCCCCTCGCCACCGGCCCTGCACCGCAGGGGTACGGCAGCACCGGGACCGGGGGGCTGTTTCCCCGGGGCAGAGTGTGGGAAGGGGCTTTGGGAGGGACAGGGGGGTCCCGGGGAGGAGGAGGAGGGTGTCGGGGAGGACATGGCTGGAGGTGGCCCCACCAGCCTGGCTCACTGCGGCACCCATCCCAACGCTGGGGCCAGCACGGGCTCAGGGCTGAGGGGTGAGTGGGGAAGGGAGTCCCCTCCAGCAAAGGGGCAGGGGTCCCAAAGGCTGGGTCCAGGGCAGCCGCTATGGGGCTGGGGGGGGATTTCCCCCAGGGAAGGGGAGCTGGACCCCAGATGCTGTGGGGAGATGAGGGGTTTTGGATCGGGGCTGGGTTTGGGGGGGTCTGGCCCTGGGCGCAGAGGGGTCTCACGGGGCTTGTGAGAGGTGTCCAGCCTGGAGGGGGGAGCAGGAAGGTGGGGATACCCCCCGTGCCACCCCCAGGGACCCGTCCTGAGCCCCCCGGACGGCCCCTAGCACAGGGGATGCTCCCCCCACCTCTGGCTGCGTCCAACAGCCACCTCCCGGTGCGGGCGGCAGGGAGGGACGCGGCTGCTAATTGCGGATGCACAATTAACATCCTCCCCGGCTGCTGCCATCTGTCCCGCCAGCCCAGGAGCTGCCACACGGCCACCAGCCCACCCGCCTGCCGGCCAACTCGCCCCGTCCCCTCCTCCCTGCAGTCCACCGGGGCTCCCCAACTGCTGCCGGGCCCTGGGAGCCCCACGGCACAGCCCTGGCACACGCTGGCACCAGGTACCAGCACCCCACCGCCGCAGGGATGGGTCTGTCCCTGGGTTGAAGCCCCCACGGCACCAGCCGTGCCCACACACCCCGTCCCCCAAAACAGGGTCCCACTGACACAGGGCAGGAGAGACAGAGCAAACCTCGGCACCGGGAGCAGCTCCGGGGACAACCCCACTCCGTACCGGCGGCACGGTGCTGGGCCATGCCTTGGCACGGCGGCACCGCACCGCGCAGAGCTCTGGTGCCCAGGTATGGCTACACTGCGCCGGTCAGACCTCCAACACCTGGTCATGGTTTCACCGTGCCAGTCAGAGCTCTGCTGCCCTGGCACGGCTGCACCACACCAGTCAAAGCTCCGGCACCTGGTCACGGTCTCACCGCGCTGGTGAGAGCTCTGATGCCCCAGCCCGGTTCCACTGTGCCAGCCAGAGCTCTGGTACCCAGGTATGGCCACACCATGCCAGGCAGAGCTCCGACACCCGGTCACGGTTTCGCTGTGCTGGTCAGCACTCTGGTGCCCCGGCACAGCTCTACCGCAACAGTCAGAGCTCCGGTGCCCCGGCCCGGTTCCACCACCCCAGTGACAGCTCCGGTGCCCCGGCACAGCTCCCCCAGGACCGTCGGAGCTGCCACCCAGCCCAGGGCAGGAGGTGCAGGGAGCCCCCAGGCTGCGCGGGCAGCGGCGCCGTCGGGGAGCAGGGAACAGACCACGCGGAGGTGCCGGCTGGTTTCATAGGATCTCTTTTACTGACCTCGCTGGGGAGGGCCATGGGTCCATACGGCATGTTTTACAAACACTTCGGGTATGTACAAGTCGGGTTTTTAGTGTTTTTGCCCCCAAAATAAAGAGATGCTTTTTGGATTATGGATCAGCCCCAGCTGCCCTGATGGGGAAGGGTGGGGAGACCAGGGGAGCGCGGAGCCCCGGGGGGGGCCGTGGGGCGGGCGCCCACGTCAGCGCGTCATGCGAAAGCGAAAGTGGATAATGAGAATAACGACAAGGAACGCTGAGGAATAACATGACTCCATTTACAGGTGGCAGATGAGAGGGGGCGGGAAGGAGGAGAAGTGGCTGCGGCCGTCCGCGGCCGAGCC